TTTCAGACAAACCCATATAAATATGTATATGAGGAGAGTACACCATCTTCCCACCCATTTGTATATCTGTCTATCGATCCATCCATCTCTATCTTTCTGTACCATTCATGGGAAATCTTCACCCACATGGAAGTTGACTTTGTGTCCAGGGCAACTGCTGCAACCTCCCGTGAGCTTTATCATGGAAGCGCCAGAACAGTGGCAGCTGCCTCAGAGAAAGCCATATCTGGTGGTTGATGGTGATTTTTGGGTTTATACTGATGGGCTCAACGTGCATTATGAAGTAATCCAATCTGGAAACTCCGCCTTCAGCTGGTTTTACAGGATGACAGGTGTAATATACAGCATATATACAGTGTGTATATATATATATATATATATACACGGAATATTATGCAATATATATATATATATATGCATGCATATACATCTTTGGGGGCGAGTGGCCAGCGACGGCCAGCCTGGACCTCCAACTTCGCCCAGGCTGAAGGTCTACTTGGAGAAAATCCAGGGTGGAGACGCCTCGGGCCCTCTGCAGGTCTCCATTGCTCACAGCTGCTTCAGTGGGTGGCTGAGATGTGATCTGGAGCAAGACTTCATTGGTCAAGCTGAACCCAATTCTTAGTAGGTTGCTATTCCGGGAATAGCCACTTTGCAAGTTGAACTCTGGCTTTGTCTAGCCATGGGTGATATAATAACCCCAGCGTGAGTCAAGAGTTACTGAACATTTCCCATGTAAAAAATGGAAGTGATCTACCTGGTGAGCAGAGTATGCTCGTAGTTCGCTGCGAAGGTGCTTTGGCATCTCTGGTCTTCATGCTGCTCCTTGGCCAGCGCTTTTTCTCTTCGTTGGTGCTGTGGCAATCTGGACTGTCATAGCTCCTCCAAAAGTTCAGGTCTTTGATCCTCATCAACGAGGCCTTTGGCTTTGATCCCAGCAGGTGTCTGGGAAGCTGAAGGGGCTGAAGGCTACTCCCAACACGCCCAAAGCCATATCCAAAACCAAACATGAATGGGATTTCTCATAGTTTCCAGTTTCCAGTTTCCAGTAAGACTTGGACAATATTTCTGGCCATGGTTTGGAACATAATTTGCCTGCAAAGTGATTGAACCTGCCATAATTCAATTGGGGACATCATCCAAATTGAGACCAAGCAACTTCTTGTTCCGGCTTTTAAAAACATCACATTGCATGTATAATGTATACACATTCCACATTCTCTGCAATGGGGATATCCGGGATATCCCATTGCCACAAAGATCCAGAAAACATGTGGGGAATCCTGGAAATCCCTGCGCAGGCTTGCAGCTGCGGCGGCCGCCTCGAGCTTGCTCTTTAGCGACTGGCAAGGTGATTACACCGAGAAGTTGTGGGCACTGGTGAACTGGGGATGTTACAGGCAGAGTCACATGGGGATATCATGATATTATATAGCCGTGAACCATTTGGATATATGGGGACAACATGGATTTAACAATTTCATAGTGTTGCTCAAACCCATTATGGGTGAGTGACAGCCACTTGTGGCCGGAAAGTTGGGTCATTTTGCTCCTTTATTTGCCCTTTTCAGCCCTCTTGTATCTGGGGTGTTCAGAGCAACCCTGATAGAAGTTAGTAAACCATACCCCAAATTTGTTACTTTATATTATTTTATATTTATTGTCTGTTTTGCAATGGAAACCCTTCAGCACTTGGGGTTTTGGCACTGGGTTTACGCCACGTGTCAGGTGCACATTCTCAGCCCTTGCCGTGTCTGATTGGCTCGTTGATCGCTGGACTGTGTGGAAGCCTCTGCCAGGTGGGAAACCGATGTCCTTTGAATCATGGGATGGCAGATGGAATGGAACGATATTCTTTCGTATTTTTAAACTAAGCCACTTTGACTGCGAGTAGACTTGTGTACAAGTGACGAGGCCACCTCGGGAGATTAGCTTCAAAGTGAACGGAAGTCTTGGGTTTTTTGTCCCAGTTTTCTTCGATGCCTTAATTTCCTCAACCCTCGGACCCTTGGATTTGTTCACAATTGTGGGACTGTTGTCCGCATCAGCACGGAAGACCGTTCAGATCAAGTTTAGAAGAGTCGTACGGTAGAGGCTCACCCGCAGCTGTTCAGCTGTTTGAGGTCTTGCCGCAACTGGGGATGGAAATCCCGTCCTCACCTCAGACATTCCTGTGATACTGCAAAGGTTGGCAGCAGCATCTCACCAGATCAAGAATCTCACCAGGGCCTTGTTGATGGTTCTGTTTGGGATTATACTAACTGGTTTCAATGGGCTTTTTATCCAACAATTGGTCTTGTTGGGAGAATCGGCAAGAGACCCTTTTTCCCGAATGCGTAGCAAGGGTTCCCGTTTCACTCTGGGGGTCTGGGGGTTGAGGGTGTGTTCGCTCGACGCAGCGCAACCGTCGCAACCGTCCGCAACCGTCCGCGTGAGGCCCATATGGCCGTGCCTATGGCGAGTTCTGCAGCAGTGGTCACTTTTGGAAATTTCAGACGTTGCGTAGCTTCGTTTCGCGTGGCAGGCGTGGCACTTTGTGACATTTCAACATGTTTCATAACGTGTCTGAAGTCGTTTTGTGTGGCAGGCGCAATACTTTTGCAACGTTTTCAGAAGATGCGTTGCATTTTTCGTGGCAAGCGCAGCACTTTGGCGACCTCCATGGTCATTTCGCGTGGCAAGCGCAGCACTTTAGACGTGTCATGTTGCGTGTTTTTTGCGAATCGCATTGTCATCGCAGCACTTTACACTCCACACTCCACACCTTACACTCCACACCCCACACTTTACACTCCACACGTTACACTCTACACTTTACACTCCGCACTTTACACTTTACACTCTACACTTTACACTCCACATTCCACACTCTACACTTTACACTCCACACTTTACACTTTACACTCTATACTTTACACTCTATACTTTACACTCCACACTGCTCACTCCACACTCAACACTCAACACTTTACACTCCACACTTTACACTTTACACTCCGCACTCTATACTCCACACTCCACACTCTACACTTTACACTCCACACTCTACACTCCACACTCCACACTCCGTATTTTACACTCCACACTCCGTATTTTACACTCCACACTCCACACTCTACAAGTTACACTCTACACTTTGCACTCTATACTTTACACTCCACACTCTACACTCTACACTTTACACACTACACTTTACACTCCACACTTTGCACTTTACACTTTACACTCTACACTTTACACTCCACACTCCACACTCTACGCTTTACACTCCACACTTTACACTTTACACTCTACACTTTACACTCCACACTCCACACTCTACACCTTACACTCCACACTTTACACTTTACACTACACTTTACACTCCACACTCCACACTCTACAAGTTACACTCTACACTTTACACTCTATACTTTTCACTCCACACTCTAACTCCACACTCTACACTCCACACTCAACACTCAACACTTTACACTCCACACTCCACACTTTACACCGTAGACTCTACACTCTACACTTTACACTCGACACTTTACACTCCACACTTTGCACTCCACCCTCTTCTGCATTCCACAGTCTACAGTGCACTGGTACGGTAACAGGGGAAAAATGTACAAGACTGTCCAAATAGCTCGTTTCAGAAAAGTGTTCTACGTGACTGCAGGCTGCATCTGGATTTTGGGAGGGTAAAAAGAAGTGCTTCCGATGAAGATTTCCTTCGACTAATCCATTGTTCTTCTGAATCTGGGAATCCCGGCCTCGAGCAGCGTGCCTGGGGCAGGATGTGGACTCAAGCAGCTCTGGGTGTTGGCCTCACAGCTTTTAGCATGGATATGGTCAACTCAGCATTTCCGGCAGGTGGGGCAGGGACGGAGCAACATGTAGAGAAAATTATAAACATATAAATAGATACATAATCAAATTCATTAACTAATATGTATGTGTGTATATATATATATTTAGATAGATAGATACACACAATATGGGCTTGTCTCAATTCCCATGTTGATGCATGGAATGGCATACCTGCGGGCCCTATGGACGATGGCCAAGCGCTGCAACGAAGGCGGTGCCATTGCCCTTGGTTTCGTGGTAAATCCTCCGCGCATTCCCTGGGTTTCGGTCCTCTATACTGGACTTCTCAGTTGGTAGCTCAGCGATCCGAAGAGCACCTGGGGGTGCAGGTGGGGTTCTTAATGGAAAAAAAACATGCAATTACCCACAAAAGTTGAGATAGAACCCCCAATAACTATGGTTATAAATAAAAATATATATATATATATATAGACATATCCAATTATCATTATCCACTGATCCACAATTTCAATTCGCCGCAGTTCCATCTTTTGCTTGGTTGTTGCACACTTTTCAAAGGCTCAGCGCTCATCATCTATGGCGTTTTCGTCAACAACTTGCAAGAGACGAGGTGGGATGGCAGATAGGTCTGAGAGACCTGAGAGCGAGGGCCAAGGTGAGCAGCAACAGCTACCTTTGCTCAAGGATGTGGTTCTTTGGTTTTTGCCTTGTTCAGGCCTTGTTCTCTTTTTTGCATCTCGTATTTGGTTTTCTTTGTGGTTTTTGAGCCATCTTTTTTGCCTTCCTGGGGACTGCAACCTTTTCTTGCACCTCCGGAAGCCAGACATGAGGACCAAAAAGCACCAGCAGCAATGCCTGCAGCGAAAGCAGCACATGATTTGCTTGCTTGTTGCAACTGAATCCCTCAACCTTTTGCGATCCTGCTAATTTTGGACGCTTCTTCTGCTAGTTGCTAGTTTTTCAAACTTACTTGTTTTACTTCAACTCGACCCTGACTTTCTGTGGCTGTAAGGTACAAGTGGACCCTAGAGTGAGTGCGCTTTCCACACGTGACAATCTTTGCATTAGGTTTGCGCGACACTTTGCCAAATTGAACGTCCAGAATGATCGAACTGGAAACCAATGGAAGGTAGTAAGGTACTAGTGGTAGCTTAAAGCAAAGCAAAGGGAAAACAGTGAACACTTTGAGAAACGTATGTCATCGACTTGTTGTGAGTAGCTGCTGTAGTAAATGACCCACGCAGGGAACACATGCTCCTCTAGTTTGTTTGAAAAGAGTGAACTCCGAACATCTCATGGTTGATCTCATTTTTCCCATTAAACTTCATTCAACTTGACATCAAATGGGGCCAGCCCCATTTCTGGACAGACCAAACAAAGAGCCTCGATTACTTCACAGCGAAGATCAACCGCCTTTGCTCACAGGCTATATCCACGGCGCTGGCCATGGCAGAAGGGCACTTCCCCTCGCTACCCTCCCCCCGCCAGCCTGCCTGCGCATCGCTGCTTGGCTGTGAAGTATCGGGATGGGCCCCCCAATATGTTTTGAATGGGGAACACGAATTTCAAAGCAATTGGATGGAATGGGTTCCCTATTTCGAAACAAACCATTCTTGGTGATTAAGGACCTCAAACGATGTCTACTCAGCTTTGGAGTCCCCTAAGGTTTCTTCAAGTTTTTTTGCTAACCCCGTTGATTCAAAAGTGAAACGACCGCCACCCTGCAGTAGCTTGCAAGCTGCCCGAAATTCAGGATACTCTGAGAGGAACCTGATCCGAAGGTGGACGGATGAGACCAACTCGGGAACAAGTGGAACAAAGTATTCCAAGATCTACGTGGGTGTCCTCACCGTTGCTGGTCAAATTGGGTGATCCCACAAGTTTTGGGCGATCGGTTTGGGCCTGTGTTTTTTATGTGCCGTGGTGAAAACCTGGCTAGTTTTTCCATCAAATGGGATAGCCATGTCACCAACAGAGGTTTAATGGTGGGGTGCAATACCCCTTTTTTTCCCTTATATCTTGACCATGGCTATGATTTTCAATGCATGTTTAAGTCGACCTTGAGGAGTTTCCAGGTTTCCAGGATAGATATCGGATATTGACCGAAGGCTGTCGACGCAGCTGAGGTTGGCCTTCAGCTGCTTGTCCTGCAACATTTCCTGCAGCTGATTGGAGGTCCAAGGCTCTAAGGTAATCCTGATTCGCTGTTCGTGGCTGTTCGTTTAAAGAAAATGCTTTGCGACCAGGTTCTTCTTTTTGACCTTCCTATTCTTTGCAGATTTCGACGTGACAGACAGTGTGGCCTCCATGTGCAACGATTGGGTAGCTTTGCATGAACCGGGGAAGAAGGTTTTCATTACAACGACTTGACACCTTGAGATCTTAGAGGCTTCAAGCTCTTCTCAACTTGATTTTTTGCCTGGCCATTCTGCCAGCTGGTGGACATCAACTTTCCGGCATATGTTGAACATTTTCCAGCTTTAAAGATATTCAAAACCAATTTCTTGGCCACAGAACAGTGCAGATCACCACAGAACAGCGACTTGTGAAGCAAGGCATGGGTTTCCTTCGCATTAGTGGGCTTGGTCTACACGCGGAGCTTTCTGAAAGCGTGATCCGTCTTCAAAGTCCCGTGCACCCTCTGGTAATTCAACATAGCCGTGGAAAATCACCATTTCAATAGACAAATCATCCATAAATTGGCAATTTCCAATAATATCTTGAATTACCAGAGGGGCAAGAATCATCATTTTTCTGATTTTCTTCTTACTGTATTATCTGTATTTTCATGGCCATAGATTCGAGGGCATCCTCATTCTTGAGGCAAACCCGAATGTCCCTTGAAGACTGCAATGACCCGACTAGCGTGACCAGTACTTTCCGCACGATCGATTGGATTCGCACTGTTTTTTCTACAAGGGATAGTTAGACAGACGGCAGAAGGACATGCATCGGCCAATGGTGAATAGGCCAAGCATTTTGTGTTTTGCTGTCTGTTTCCCCAGGTATGGACTGGGATCTGTCGGCTACTGCTTATTGATTTTGTGTGTTTCCGTACAATGGTCAATGATTGTGGAGAGCCTGGTGAATGGAACAGTGCTGCATGTGAGCTTTGCGAACCTGATGCTGCTTGACAAAACCGCCTCTATTATTATTATAATATTTTGATCTGTATGTGACAGTATGTGCATCTTGAAAGTAAGCAGTCCTGAAAAAGATTTCAAGACATGCAAGATAATCAAACGCTTGAGATGCCACACTTTTTTAAACGCCTGCATAACACGGCGAAGTCTTTGTGGTCCATACGGGGGGTTGCTAAAACTTGCGGCCCCCGGCAACCAGGGCCTCCTAGCACCCAGCAAAGAATTCAACATTCTTAGTGAGGAATCTGATGGTTGTGGGAAGATAGATAGATAGATAGATAGATAGATAGATAGATAGATAGATAGATAGATAGATAGATAGATAGATAGATAGATAGATAGATAGATAGATAGATAGATAGATAGATAGATAGATAGATAGATAGATAGATAGATATACACACATATAGCATCAATGATGGGGGCAGATCCTTCAAAAAGAGACCGAGGAATGGTTGTTCTTCAGCTGCTGCGGTGCTAGTATCCTTTGGGGCCCTGGTGGGCAAGGTCGATCCTTTGCAGATCCTGACGTTGGTGCTGATAGAGCTTCCTGGCATCCATTTGATCTCAAAGTACAAAAAGAGAGGAAGTTAGAACCGTCCTATGCCGGGGTGGAATTTCTGATTCCCATGGTTCCAATGGTTCTGGTTTCCATGGTTCCCAGAAGCACTCCTGTTTCAGCGGTCCAGGCTCCCCTGCTATTGCTGGAACAAAGTGGTTTTCCTTCAGATGGGCAGTGAGAAGACGCCATTGGTGCCTGGGTCAAGAGTGGCCGTGGCCAAAAACCCTTCACGAAGTGCCCCTTGGGGGAATTCATTCAAGAGTAAAATTGCAGAAATGGTGAAGTTTGAGGCTTTCAAACTGCCCAATATATAATTTGCTCTGCCAAAAAAGGAATCCCCATAAACTGGAGGTCTCTATGCTCGATTGTGCCTCTACCTTCTGTTTTGCACTGAGGTGCAGGACCGTGGGACCCTTCTGATCTTCCTCTTTGGATCCTTCTTTGGCCTGGCAGCTGGCAAGACCTTGGGGGTGCCAGAGATGGACTGGCTGAATCGCAGCCAGCGCAACACCGTTGGGGCCCCGGCACCGTTCAACCTCCGGGATCCCGAAGCATCCAGTATTGGTTCCTGCTATTGGGAGGGGAAAACTATTGTTCCGAATTGTTCCTGTGAATCTTCCCTTTAATCGAAACTACCATGCTTTGTCCTGAAAGATCAACTGCACTTGCTCCCACAGTGGATAGCGGATAGCTTCTTGATACTTGAATAAGCTAGAATACACTGGATGACGTTGTAGTAGCACTTCCAGCTTCAAACTTATAGTTATTTCTTCTCCTCTGCAAATGGCTACAGGAAGGTTGTAGATCAAGTAAACTCAATCTGCAAAAGGCATACTTTACCCTGATTGCTACCAGTACCAGTTAACGCCAAGGCTAGAGATTCTACAAACCGTGTCATTTTTTTCCTCAGCAGAGAATTCTGAAAAGAGAGTTGACTAGCCAGTGGAAAAGACTAAATTCCTTCAGCACAAGCACTAGCAGCACAGAGAGCAGCACAGAGAGCAGCACAGAGAGCAGCACAGAGAGCAGCACAGAGAGCAGTACCAGCAGCGCTAGCACTTGAAACTTCTACTAGATTCGATTTTCAGTGAGGGGTATTTGAAGTATTTGCTTCTTCTGTGCCATGACTCATGGCTGCCATGGCTGTACGAAAAGCACTTCTCGCGGGATTTATGACGAGCGATGCTTTTGGCGTTCGCGTCTTCACCTTTGCAGATCAGTTTCATCCAATGCTGTGCCACTTGGCACGTTCTGTGGAGCTGGCTGGTGGATGGTTGCACGTCATGGGGCTGCGAGAAGGTCGAAAGAAAGTGGCCCTGCTCAGTGATGCCCCCAAGGAGCAGCATCAGTGGCATTTCGAGGACAAATTCGTGATGCTGAAAAAGCATCTCTTTCTCTATGGAGCCATAAAACGCTTGCCAGCCAATATGACGGTCATTTTTGTGGATGCCTTTGATGTACTTTTCCAAAGGCCCCTGAAGGAGATGGTCGAAAAATACCACGAACTGGCACGAGGTCATGTTGAAAAACATGGTCGTTGGCCGGTGATCTATGGTGGAGACCTCAATTGCTGGCCCTTCCCCCACAACGCCCGGCTCCGAGTTCCGCGTCGGGATGGCACCAATGGATCCTGGCTGCATCGCATCCCATGGGATGCAGCACTTTCCGCAGCCTATCACAACACCTGGCGCTACCCAGCACGAAAAGGTGAGATCTCTGGTGATGAGGTCTGCCGCGAGTGGCTGGCAGAGAATAGCGATGCCTCTGAAGCTCCGGAAAAACGTCGTGCAGATGGCCTGCTTCGGGCAGGGAAGAAGCCCAAAAGGAGGCGTTTTCCATTTGTTTGTGCAGGTACTTTCATAGGGAGGGTGAACTCTTTACGTCGTTTGTTGCGTGAGATGTTCCGGCTCTACCGAACAACTTCAGAATATCATGATCAAGCCCTGATTCCTTTGGTCTTACTGCGCTTCCCTGATTTGGGCTTTGTGGACAAAGATGCTCAACTCTTTTTGGGCCTCCACGGTCATGACGAGTTCTGGGACTTAGAGCGACCCTTGTGTCGTGGCAGCTACTTCGCAGCATCTGGGAGTGCTCAAGAAAGTCCAAGCTTTCAGGCTTTCACTGCTCCGAGACTCCTAGGAAGCCTTCGCTCCGATGTACCAAAACTGTTACATTTTAATGGGAACGGCAAGCGCCACATGTGGCGATGTGTGGAAGAATTTCGCAAACTTGGTCTCTTAGATCAGAATGACATGGAGTGTGATTTTTTTGATGTGGACAGGAATGCTTGGAACGGCGCAAAAAAGTGTGTTTGAGCAGAAGTATGTTTGAGCCGCCTAATCCGAGGAGTCTCTTTCCCACAGTTCTCAAGGCAATTTTAATTTCAGTGAATATTTAAAGCAGAGAAGTCTTTTTTTGGAAGACGTAGAAGTGGCACTGCAGCACTACTGCAGCACTGCAGAGTGTGCCTGCCAGGTCCCATCAGAGGGTCATCAAGTTTATTACCTGAAATCCAACCTTGACCCCCCAAAAGATCAGCATATGTTCATAACATCTTGTTGCCCTTCCAAGGAGCTGCTCTCCCTCTTCGGTACCTGCTGCCTTTGGTGTTCTCTGCCCTCCTTCCCGAGGGGGGACAGTGAAACATCCAGCTCAACCATGGCGTGGCAACACACAGTGTTGGCACTGTGCCCAAGCTGAACCAACTCGCCGTCTTTGGAATCACCTCACCCCAAATGTTCGGGACTGCGGCGTTTTAAATGGAGATGTAGTTGCTGAACAGTTGGGAAAATGGACCAGTATGGAAAGATGTATGCAAATTTGAAGACCTGTCTTTAACTATTTTCTGCGTATATTCCAATGTTTATTGTCTGGGCGTGGGGTGCCACAATTTTTTCATGGTTTACCCTCAATTTCCCTCTAAACATTGGTTGTTTGGGTGGCATACAGCCCGTTTTCAGACAGACCAGATGTTGTACCCATCATTCCATGGGTTAATCCCTACTGTTTCACTATTCATTGGTTAAATCTCCATTGATTAGCTGTTACTTATTGGTCACTACATACATCACCTGATTGTTTAACTATTGTTCATGGCACTTATCTCATTGTATCCAGATTGATTGCGAATGAACTCCCTATTTATCCCTATGTTTGTATGTTTGTTGTTTAAAGCAAGTTATATAAATCCCCATTCTTCATGGGTGAAGTAAGATGAAGTAATCCCATCCTCCATAAAATTGTTGAACTCTCCAGCGGGAGTTCTGTTTTTCCATTTGGTTCTCATCCTATTTTTGCCAAAAAAATCGTGGATTCCCTGCAGGTTGGGCTCCACTGTGGCCACCTTTACCCTGGATCCCTTTCTGCACGACGGGCGTCTGGAGCCTGCGGCCGTGCGCTCTGCAGTGCTGGCAGGAGGTGGCAGTTGGGGGCCGGAAGTTTGGATGAAGAAATTGGAAATCTAACCATTGAACATGTTAAGCAATGAAATGGTATATTTCATCAGCAATAAATGAGGATTGAAGCCAATTTATCGAAAATCATGATCAAACACTGTATATTGGTCAAAATTGATGGGGAATCATTGTGACTCAAACTTGGGGTAGCCTAAAAGTGGATGTTAAGAATATTGAACATGACATAACATGAGTTTCTGGCTCTTAGTTTTTGACCCACACCCACATTATATGCGGATCTATAATATGATGTGATGGGACATGACATGATAATATGACATGCTATGATATGACATGATATGATGGAAGGAAGTTTAGAAGTCAAACTTCCGATAATATGGACAGATGGAAAAGCAGAGGTGGGAAGAGTCAGAGAGGAGAAGAGCCGAAGAGAGAAGATCAGAGAAGAGAAAGAGTGCGAAAAAAGAAGATGCAGGTGCGCGAAAAGGTAGGAAAGTCGCGAAACACTTTGTTTTTCCAATGATTTGTGGCTCCGGAGGGTCGAAAAGTAGGCTCGCTAAAGCGGCGGGTGCGGAGCCATGTGGTCAGATGACAGATGAAAAATTGCACGCCATTGTGGCGCGAAGCACATTTCCAAGTCAACATGTACAAAACACACAAACGGCGATGTCAAAAAAGTGCACGCCGTTGTGGCGCAAAGCACATTTCCAAGTCAACATATACACAACACCTCAGCGTCGGACCACTTTCGGAAGTTGAGATGTCGAAAAAGCGCACGCCGTTGTAGCGCGAAGCACGTTTCGAAGTCAAAATGTACAAAGCACCTCAGCCTCGGAGCACTTTTGGAAGTTGAGATGTTCAAAAAGTGTACGCAGTTGTGGTGTGAAGTACATTTCGAAGTCAAAATGTGCAAAACACTTCAGCCTCGGAGCACTTTTGGAAGTTGAGATGTTCAAAAAGTGTACGCCGTTGTGGCGCGAAGCAAATTTCGAAGTCAAAATTTACAAAACACCACATGTTTGCGCCACTTTTGGACGTTGAAGCGTGGTTTTGTGCAGGCGCAAGGGATTCTCCACCCTGCCAAAAGTGAGCAAAACGTGAGGGTTTTGTGGCATTTCCAAAAATGACGGCGGGCGTGGGACATCTGAAGAGGATCTGCAAAGATGGATTTAGCGTGGCAGGTGCAGTGCAAGAAACATGTTCATCAGAGCTGTTAGGAGGTCAGGCCGCTGATTTCGTGAGAGGGGTTCCAAAATGCTGGAGCATCAGATCTTCAGGTTTGCGAAGATGATTTTGACTGACAGGTGCAGCACTTTGATTGTATGACTTAGCACCACTTTTTCGTGGCAGGCGCAGTACTTTACACAGATGAAGTGGAACAATTCGCAAAACGCATTGGTACGAGGCCGTCAGCTCTGCATTCAACTTTCTATTCTTGAAGGAAGTCTTGCAGAATTCTTTCGCTTTTGAAATTGTCAAGTTCAAACATTGAGGTAGTCTCGCAGAATTGCTGCATTTTTCATCATCGAACATGGAGGAAGCCTTGCAGAATTGCTTTATTTTTAAAGTTGTCACTGTTGAAAATGGAGGAAGCCTTGCAAAATAGCTTCGTTGTCAAGCTTGCCTGTGCACAGACAGACAGATAGACCGATAGATTAGATAGATAGATAGATAGATAGATAGATAGATAGATAGATAGATAGATAAATAGAAAGATAGATAAGATAGATAGATAGCTAAGTAAGATAGATAGATAGATAGATAGATAGATAGGTAGATAGATAGATAGATAGATAGATAGATAGATAGATAGATAGAGAAGATAGATAGATAGATAGCTAGATAGATAAGATAGATAGATAGATAGATAGATAGATAGATAGATAAGATAAGATAAGATAAGATAAGATAGATAGATAGATAGATAGCTAGATAGATAAGATAGATAGATAGATAGATAGATAGATAGATAGATAGATAGATAGATAGATAGATAGAGAAATGGAGAGACAGATGGACAGATAGATAGATAGATAGATAGATAGATAGATAGATAGATAGATAGATTAGATAGATAGATAGATAGATAGATAGATAGATAGATAGATAGATAGATAGATAGATTAGATAGATTAGATAGATAGATAGATAGAAAGATAGATAGATAGATAGATAGCTAAGTAAGATAGATAAGATAGATAGATAGATAGATAAGGTAGATAGATAGATAGATAGATAGATAGAGAGATAGAGAGATAGAGAAATGGAGAGACAGATGGACAGATAGATAGATAGATAGATAGACAGATAGATAGATAGGTAATTAGATGCAAGAGAGAGAGAGAGAGAGAGATCGAGAGAGAGAGAGAGAGATAGATAGATAGGTAGATAGGTAGATCGGTAGATAGATAGATAGATGGATAGATGGATAGATGGATAGATGGATAGATGGTTAGATGGACAGATGGATAGATGGACAGATGGATAGATGGACAGATGGGTAGATGGATAGATGGATAGATGGATAGGTAGATGAGATGAGATGAGATTAGATTAGATTAGATTAGGGCAGGTCAGATTAGATGAGATTAGATTAGATAGATAGATAGATAGGTAGATAGATAGGTAGGTAGATAGATAGATAGGTAGATAGATAGAGAGATAGGTAGATAGACAGACAGACAGATAGATAGATTAGTTAAGATAGATAGATGGAGAGATAGGCAGATAGGTAGATAGATAGATAGACAGATAGATAGATAAGTTAGATAGATAGATAGATAGATAGACAGACAGACAGACAAACAGATAGATAGATAGATAGATGGACAGAAAAGGAAAGATAAGATAAGATTAGATAAGATAAGATAGATAGAAAGATAGATCGAAAGATTGGTTAATAAAGATAGACAGACAGACAGACAGACAGATAGATAGATAGATAGATAGATAGATAGATAGATACATAGGTAGATAGATAGATAGGTAAGATAAGTTAAGGGAAGATAACGCATAATTACATCAGATTAGATTAGATTAGATTCGATTGGATTAGATAGATAGATAGATAGATAGCTAGATAGATAGATAGATAGCTAAGTAAGATAGATAAGATAGATAGATAGATAGATAGATAGATAGATAGATAGATAGACAGATAGATAGATAGGTAATTAGATGCAAGAGAGAGAGAGAGAGAGATCGAGAGAGAGAGAGAGATAGATAGATAGGTAGATAGGTAGATAGATAGATAGATAGAGAGAGAGAGAGAGACAGATAGAGATACAGACAGACAGACAGACAGACAGACAGACAGACAGATGGATGGATGGATAGATGGATGGATAGATGGATAGATAGATGGTTAGATGGATAGATGGATAGATGGATAAATGGACAGATGGATAGATGGATAGATGGATAGGTAGATAGATATATGGATAGGTAGATAGATAGATGAGATTAGATGAGATTAGATGAGATTAGATGAGATGAGATGAGATTAGATTAGATTAGATTGACAGACAGGCGGACAGACAGACAGACAGACAGACAGACAGACAGACAGATAGATAGATAGATAGATAGATGGTCATAGACAGATTGGCAGATAGACAGACAGATGGATGGATAGATAGATAGCTGCACGACATTCCAACCACCTTTCGGTCCATCAGTGGATTCGCTATGCCATCCGTGATTCACAGCAACCAACCTCTCCTGTAGGTTTCCTATTTTTGAAACTTCCGCCAACGCCTTGTGCAGTACTGCTGGCAATACCGTTTGTTTTTGATATAGTTAATTCATAGGCCAGATGGATTTACCAACAGTTATATACATGGAATAAAACCTGAACACAAAAATAACATGTTTCGGGGATTTAGCCACTAGAACATGAGGGCAATTCCGAAGATGCCAATGGGAACCATTGGCACGGCAGCTGAGCAGGTGTCGCCATCAGTGGTGTGGCAGACATCGTTGGGCCCTGCACAGCCTTAGCGGCCCGCGGGTCCTGTGGGAGGAGCATTTTGATGTTGTTTTGCCCTCCGGTGTCATCAAACATGGCTGGAACATTCACCATTTAGTTTGATGTTCTTGCCAGCTATAAACCGTCATTTATACTGGGATTTCCAGCTAGCCACGTTGGATTCGGGAGGGTAAGCTTCTTGACTAGAAATGCTCAGTATTTTCGAGTAGCACAGCCACGATGTTGTCAGTCTGGTGTTGGTTGTCGCTGGCCAGCCAGTCGACTATCAAACCCTTTTATCCTCTATACCGTCTATACCTGCCAAGCCTCTACACCTGCCAAGCAGTTGCATCCAGTTTCATCCGGGTTTGTGTGCAGGTGGGGTGCATTGCTGGTTCCGCATCGACCATTTGTCTGGGTTTCAGCGACAAAAACGTTGACACCTCTGGTGTGTTTTATGTCTACGGCCTACCGGCACTGATCGGAGGGAAACCTTGGCTGCAATCACCTGGGCATGGCAGGTTGAGAAGTGATAACCTGGGCCATGAGTGGACACCACTTAGAGAGTACCACTCTTTAGGTACTGACCCTGGCGTTTTTTGCGCACTTCTTCAATGTCATTCGTTCATTCTGAAACGTTCTTGTCTGCCAGGAAGAGACTCCTTTCTATGCACCATAATCCTTGAACTGTTCACAACGCTTTGATGCGACCAAGACAGGATCTGGTCATGAGAGTAGACACTTGCAGAGTCCCTCTCGCTCTAAGGATCACTTCAATGGGAAGAATCAACCATGAATCACTGGGGAACCAGGCCTTTGGTCTCTGCGGAACGTTAACGCAACCTGGCTGACCAACTTCGTACATGCTGGTTTTGTAATGCGATCCTGATCTCAAGACAAGTTTAACAGGCCATTGAACCGGCAAATTATTATCAGCTTGTAGCAACCAGGTTGTACATTCTTTGACCCTGTGAGTTTGGTGACAACCGGACCTGCGAGGATCGCCTGTTTGTCTGGTGCAGTCTGCGGCCGCTTGCTGCGATCTCTACGTGGTTCGGTGGAGCTGGCCTTTAGCGATGAAGTCCACTGGGACTGTGCGGAGGACGCCCGCAGCTAGAAGTCATAGAGTCACGTTGAAGCATACCTGGTATACCTCCAACATCCTCCAACGATTCGAACGCCCAGGACCTGCCCCGAGGTGTGCTGAGTCTTTGAGGCTTACAGTGGCTAGTGCTCCCAGTTAGTAGTTCTGAGCTCCAGTTTCAATGATATTTCTGGTTGGAAATCAGGTGCAGGGACCGAAAGAGACTCGGATGTTGCAACCTTTCACTCGGTACCTTCTCAAAGAAGTTGGTACACCAGCTGCGAGCCAAAACATAGGCTTGCAACTGGCAAACAGGCAATGGGGTTAGAAGAATGAAACATCAGAACTACTGCTTTTGCTGCTTGTCATTCAGGATATGACTGGGAAGATTTGGGAAGCAGGCAAGTTTGGTCACGAAAAAGCAATGAATTCCAGAATCGGCTGCTAATTGATACAGATTTCTGGCTGTCACTTTGGGATGCACAGAGAAAGATTGGCGGACACAATCAAATTTGTACTTATTCCGCAATTTGCAGAGCAGCCATTTCAACATTGTTGTTCCGTTTGTTGTTCTGGGAAAGCACAGTTTCCGCATTGTAAAGTCTAGCGCATGTGCCATGGTCAAGAGTTGGGCCGTATACACACACATATATAATATAATATGATATAATATAATATAATATAATACAATACACTGAAAGTCAAGCTTTTTCGCACCAGGATCCATGCATGTGCGGCCCCAAGGGCCTTGAGCGACGTCCTAAACCCTGGGCCGTAAGTGGCTGCTGAAACTTCGGCTCTCCGGCAAATACCCTGAAGCCAATGGAATCTCAAGAAATGTCGGTGATCATATTCTTAACGTAATCTGCTGTGAAAGGTTCCTGTGATCATGTGCATCACATAATCTGCCATCGGCTGCTTCTGAGATCATGTTCATCACAAAACCGATCATCGAAAACCAAACTGAACGGCTACTGGTATCTGCCATCATTCGCCGGGAAAAGCTTCTAATTATGCCACATCCAAAATATGCGTGCGCAACATCTTCTTCAAAAAACCTGCAAACATCACTGTGGCTCCAGGAGCTACAACTGGGATCCCTGAAAGCGATTCCCAATACCAAGCCACATCATAATGGGAAATGTGAATGGTATACCACGCCTGGAAAACCTCCAAACTACGCGACCAATGAACTGGAAGGGGGATTGACGTCACAGGTTTCCACAAACAAAACATCATCCCACAGAAAAAACCAACAAACCAAACCCCAAGCAGGATTTTCCAGTTTCAGAATTGAAGGTTTCCCAAAATCGCAGCTACCATCTTAGCCTTGGCTGCCACCCTTGCTGGTGGCGCGTCTTTCCCATACCGGCTTATGAATTGGTCAAGCTTCTTGCCAAGCCCTCGCTTCGGCTGGACAATTAGGGCTTCAAGGGATTTAGCTGACAATGGTGACTGTCCCAAATCAACAGCGTGGCCCAATTCTGCCTCCAGCAATTTAAGCGAAACAACAGGGATCTTAACATCTGCAAGGCTACTTTCCTTAGGGGGGTCTTGGACTTGTGTTGTGTGCTTGCTGGGCAGCTTTGGGACGGCGCTACCTTGCGCAGTTGACGTGTCATGCCCAGTCTGGCCCGGCGGTGCCTTTGGCACGCCCGCAGCCACTGCAGCTTGCTTGAGCTGCTCCCGTTCTTCCAAACACATTGCAAGCGCTTCTGCCTGCAAACGACGCTCCTGCCAAGCTGCTGCTTCTTGCTTCTGCCTCTTGTACTCTTCATAACCTGGTGAATTTTTCGGCAGCTTGTCAGAAGACTTACGTTTGTCAGGAGTCCGGGATTCTGATCTGGACTTTCGGCGGCGCCGGCGGCGTGAGTGAGACGATTCCCGCCGTTCACGGTGGCGATCATGGTCATAGTAAAAATAGGAATGTCGGGAATCCCTGCCAAAGCTCTCATGCTTCCGGCCATGGCCCTTTGTCGGCTGACCGCGCCCCCCAGCATCCACAACCCATACCTCTACAAAGAGGCACAGGAAGAACAACGCTTTCAGGGCTGGCCCCATGTGCTCCGGGTATGGAGAGACACAGAACAGCTACGGGGTAAAGCCAAAATCTGGCGGCAAGGCTGCACTACATCAACCGTGTCCAATGAAAAACCAAGCCAAAGCACATGCACTCTGCCGACAAGTCGGGCTTCTGCAAATTCCAACAAGGGCATCCACTGGGTTTCATGGAGATGCGGCGCACCAAAACTTGTCATAATTAAAGTCAAACCTAAAAGACAACAGAGACAAACATGTTCCTACCATTGGACATAAAACAAACCCATATCTCCTGCGAAACCCATCCTAGCAGCAATGATGAAACTGAAACCGAATACATAAGTCAAAAGTAGTAAAAGCATCAACAAAACAAAAAACCTAAAGCTGAACAATACTGAGCCATGTATGGGACAACAAGTCATTATCTTATCAAGCATTGGTTTGTCGTCTCACGCGCCGCTTATTATCTAACACTCGGATGGCCCTACGTAGGCTTAAAAGGCGACAGGTATGCAAAGGCAGCGAATGAATGACGGCTCTTAAAATACTTATCGGATATCCTTCCAAAATCAGCTCCTGGATTTCTTCAAACAGCAAAAACAACTGCGACTCAGCCGGCAATTCCAATTCCCGCAAACGAGCTAATCGACCAAGTAATAAACATCGGAGCATTCCAAATGGGCACCGCAACCTTCCCAAAAATGGCACATACCTTTCCTTCTTCTTGTCCCCTTTTCCTTGCACCCAGAGCCGGTTGGGATTTTTGGCCGTCCAGGATACTCCTCGCGTCATGGGGTCAACGCTAAACACAAGATCCGTCCAAGTTTGCTCAGCTTCCTCCAGGTTGATATCAAAATGAACAGAAAACATGCTGCATAAACCGGTACTCAAACATTGATGGCAAAGACTACCGCTGACTAGGAGCAAGTCGTCAACATACCGCAAACCGAAAAAGAGCTCATGGATCTCCCATTGTGGCGGCACCTGCCAAACTCTGGTCCAACCACCTTGCAAAAATTGCTCCTCCTCAAAACTGAGCAAGCACACTGCTGAAATCATGCTGAGTAACCCGCCTATAACCAAGCCCCGAGCCTTCACAACCAGATTCCCTATGCTGGCAAATCTCAGCATACAACTGGCCTGAAGCATCCGTCGAAGCTGGGCAACAGAAAAAACGATGAAGTTCCGGGAGCGGGTATGTATCGAACCTCCGGGCCAGCCGCGCACTGGAAACTGTCGTCTGACTGTGATGGTATCTTTTTCCTGCAACTGCAACAACAATGCTGCTTTTGCGTCAAAAGCATCCAAAACAAGACGACTGTCAACCTGTTCATACATTTGAGCTGCGTCCGCCACCAAGAGTGTTGTATACCATTTGGGACCATTGCAGCAAATGCATTCTTGTGGATCCGGCCCCCAACGAAGCATGCCAAACTTTTGCCGGAATATCGGCACCACCTGCTTGAGCTTCCATACAGAAAACCCGGGTCCTGTACTGCTGATCAAAATTTGAACTGCTCGGCCTCCCAAGCGCCATGCTCGCCTCCATGACACATGTACGAAAGACACCACCTTGCGCAGGCAAGAATGGCCAATCTTCTGACAGGTATGGCCACCCGAAGCTGCGAAACACTTGGCCTTCACAAACGGGTACATATAGGGCGCAAAACTTGTCTTTGGAAGAGGCCCTCGTCGGAGTGCTGCTGGGATGGCAAACAAGGAAACACCATATACCAGAGTGCTGAGCTGCTCCACAGAAATAGCAGTTGCGTCCCACTGAGTGTCCAGAAGAACCAAGCACAGCAATGTCGTCGCAAAACACGCAAAAGGCATGGTCCAGGTAGATTTCTTGTCCTTGTCATCTTGGAGTAGTACATCGCTGCCTTTTGATGTCAAAACTTCCACGTACGCCGATTCCTCGGCAGTTGCATAGTCATTCGCTGACCGATGCGCCGAGGACCACGCACGCAAAGATGCACGGCCGATCTGGCGCGGAAAATGGTTGTCCACGTGCCACGCCCTCAGCTCATGAACCACTGGAGATTTTGCCCAGATAGCTTTTTGGTCCGGAACAGCCCAATTTCCAGGCAACTTCTTCACTTCTGCACCCCGCCGCCAGTGTTCCCATTCAAAAAATCCTTGCTCCCAAACATCTGAGACGCGAATCAGCTTTGAACATTGAACAGCATTTCGGCGATCACTCAGGCGGGGAACTGCCCTCGTAGTGAAATGAACCCGGGCCATGATCCAATGGTACAAAAATTGTCCATGTAGAGCGGCGCAAGCCCGAGCTGCCACTGTCACTGCATGCCTAACTTGCTGTCGTTCTTCGGGAGTCAAGCATGGGAACCAGCGATGCCGTCTGGACGGCAAATGGTATCTGGCCAAAAGCCGATCGACGTGGCGAAAGCCATTGCTCTGTCTGACATATCCATGAACCAAGGAGATCAAATGAGCTAACCGCAAAATTGCACGGGCCGGGCCCCTACCCTTCAAGAGAAGGCGCAAATCCAGGTGCGCATGCTTTGAACAAGCCCACAAAGCTAAAAGCCCTCCTTGTCGGGTTGCGTAAATGGAAATCGGCCCTTGGAGGCCCCACTTTGCATATTGCTCTTTCTGTTTGCTGCGATATGCTGCTGGAAAAGTCTGCACTGTCCAACTGGGAGCAAGGTTTCCAAATGGGCGGCTCAACTTTTGCTGCACTATCTTGCATTGCCGCTGCAAACAAACCGGCGACTCCCAAAAGGAAACCTCTTTCCGCCGCCGAAAACGTGGAGGAGGGCGTTTTCGACTACGATGACATTTCTTACGCCTCATTGGCAAGCACTGTCCTTGGTTGGCAAGGGGTCTTAGACAACGGATAGCAACTGCCTCACAGGCCCGAATCCAAGTATGCGGCCCACGTTTCAAGATCAAAAAACAAATCTCTGACGCTGGACGCTGTCGTAAAAGGATAGCTCGAGTTGTTCTGGCAGCTGCTGAACGTGTCCGTAAAACAGAAGTCAGGTGCTCCATGATCCTGCTCACCACGCCCAATTTTCCATGGCTTCGCGCAAGCACTGCCTTGCCCACATACCACCGGCCTTGATTGAACAAAGTGTAGACACAAGCCTCATCGTCGACCCCAGCTGTTTCCACGCAGTGTCGTAAGAAGGCTACTGCTTGGGCTACCGCCTCTGGATGTGAAGGCAAATGGAAAAACAACCGGCGCAAGGGGCCTGAAGCCAAATGACAAATTCGGACTGCCCAAGGTGCGGACCGATGAGCTGATAGCTGTAACAAACCCTGCATTGTCAACAAGGATGCTAACAGAAGTGTGAGGCACCACCATGTCTGTGCGTCTTCATGTGTGAAGGGAAAACGACCTCTAGCAACCACGCCTGCAAGTCAGCTAATACACAAAGCCAGAAACGCAACTGGTCAGGAGAAGCAAGAGCAAGGACCACTGCGCACCACATTTCATCCAGTAATGATTCTGTGCTGCACGCAGGCAATTCTGCCCTTCCAGTAAGCTTGCTCCACCGACAACCACATGATGTCAAGACTTCTTTTGCAGAGTCCATCTCGCTCTAGGGATTGCTTCAATGGGAAGAATCAACCATGAATCATGTGGAACCAGGCCTTTGGTCTCTGTTAACGCAATTGGGCTGACCAACTTCGTACATGCTGTAATGGATATGAATCTCAAGACAATGTTTAACAGGCCATTGAACCGGTCAGCTTGTGCAACCAGGTTGTACATTCTTTGACCCTCTGACAACCGGACCTGCGAGGATGCCTGTTTGTCTGGTCAGTCTGGGCCATTGCTGCGTGGTTCGGTGGAGCTGGCCTTTAGCGATGAAGTCCACTGGGACTGTGCGGAGGACGCCCGCAGCTAGAAGTCATAGAGTCACGTTGAAGCATACCTGGTATACCTCCAACATCCTCCAACGATTCGAACGCCCAGGACCTGCCCCGAGGTGTGCTGAGTCTTTGAGGCTTACAGTGGCTAGTGCTCCCAGTTAGTAGTTCTGAGCTCCAGTTTCAATGATATTTCTGGTTGGAAATCAGGTGCAGGGACCGAAAGAGACTCGGATGTTGCAACCTTTCACTCGGTACCTTCTCAAAGAAGTTGGTACACCAGCTGCGAGCCAAAACATAGGCTTGCAACTGGCAAACAGGCAATGGGGTTAGAAGAATGAAACATCAGAACTACTGCTTTTGCTGCTTGTCATTCAGGATATGACTGGGAAGATTTGGGAAGCAGGCAAGTTTGGTCACGAAAAAGCAATGAATTCCAGAATCGGCTGCTAATTGATACAGATTTCTGGCTGTCACTTTGGGATGCACAGAGAAAGATTGGCGGACACAATCAAATTTGTACTTATTCCGCAATTTGCAGAGCAGCCATTTCAACATTGTTGTTCCGTTTGTTGTTCTGGGAAAGCACAGTTTCCGCATTGTAAAGTCTAGCGCATGTGCCATGGTCAAGAGTTGGGCCGTATACACACACACATATATAATATAATATGATATAATATAATATAATATAATACAATACAATATAATATAATATAATATAGTATAGTATAATATAATATAATATACTGTAATATATATATATTATTATATATTATATATATTATTATTATATATATTATTATATTATATATATATCGGAAATCCCTAATGATGGTCGGATGATCATACTCCCCTATACCATCTTTTGACCATGGCTCACATCTTTCAACATGACTGTTGCAGCTCCTCCATGCACCGTTGCGGAGCATGAATGACGGATGCGAGCGCTCGCCCGCCGATGCCTGTCCGGGTGCCCGGATTGGTGCACAGGTGAGTCATCGAGTCATCCATTGCCTTCGAATTGACATTGGGGATGGATCAAAACCATTTATGACAAATGACAAATATGGATAAACATACATTCACCAACTATCTTGGTTAAAATCCAGGGTGGATTTTGACCCACAGCCACAGCATTTCTGTTCATGTGTATTTTCGAGTATTTATTTCACATGCTGCGAGCCACATGCAAGCAGGTGCAGTCGCAGAGAAACCACCATGACTGTTTGCGCAGGATCTGTATGCCCCGCAGCATTTGGCAGAGTCTCTCAAACCCGTCAAGGCATTTTGCCAGTGCGAGATCTTGTTGCCTCAGCCTTGCTCCAAACAATGGCAACCGCAGTGTCACCAGAGGCACTGGAAGAAGGAAAGAAACTTTCCAATTTCTCATGGAGATCCGTGAATATGACTGTGGATATGGGCAAGGAAAAAAAAAACATCCTGAATGACATCAGTGGCTCACTGAAGGGAGGCGAAGTCTGTGCATTGATGGGTCCTTCCGGCGCAGGCAAGACCTCGCTGCTGAATGTGTTGGCAGGGAGGGTGAGGAGTCGTGGCAAAGTGCTGGTGAATGGAAACATTTTGCTGGACGGCTTGCCGGTTGCTTGGAGTTGTTGAACATGATCTTTGATGAACTTTGGCATTTTCCCAAAGGTAAATCCAGGAAACGGGACACCTGCTGAAAAATACAATACTCTCTGGTAATTTACATTGCTATGGAAAATGGCACTTTTGTCTGATGAATTCCCTATGAAACGAGTGATGTTTTGTCAATTTGTCACGTTTCCGTGGCCAGGTGAGTGGATCCTCCCTGCGGAAGCGCATTGCCTATGTGATGCAGCAGGACATCTTGACCCCAACGCAGACCGTCCGAGAGTCCCTGTGGTTTTCAGCCAACCTTCGGCTTCCAAACACATACACTCGAGAAGACAAGCAGCAGATGGTGGAGAAGATGTTGAAAGACTTGGGCTTGGAGAAATGTGCAGACACCTTTATTGGGGATGACATGATTCGAGGTGTATCGGGTGGAGAGAAGAAACGCACCTGTGTGGGTATTGAGCTCATCATGAAACCCAAGCTGATTTTCCTGGACGAGCCCACCAGCGGTCTGGACTCCTATGCGGCCCACAATGTGGTCATGAGGTTGAAGGACATGGCTCACCACGATGGCTGCAATGTCCTGTGTACCATCCACCAGCCATCCTCAGAGGCGGGCTGGTGAAAGGGTGAAATATTGTAATCCTTGACCTCCCAAAAAGATCCAAAAAGGACAATGGGTGAAATAAATTTCTGGTCCTTTTTGACCCAAGCGTCCCAGGTCTTCCATTTGTTCGACCGGACCATGGTGTTGCGCTCTGGCAAGCTGTTCTACTTTGGATCCTTGCCAGGTTTGTCCGAGTCACTTCATAGCGCCGGCAAAGGTTGCCCCAATGAGTTCAACTTGGCGGATCACGTCATGTTTGTGCTCCAGACGGAATCCGGAGACGCCCTGGACAAGATAGAAGCTAGTATGAAAGGGGACCAGACAATGGCAGAAGAACCGTCAATGCCCAATGATAAGAGTGCCATGACTCTCAAAATGGATGGAGCTCACGCAGGCTTTTGCACCCAGCTGTATGCCCTCAGCAAGCGCGAGGCTCAGAATGTGTGGCGTGACAAGGCTGGTCTCATCGCATCGGTGATGGTTCCCCTGATTCTGAACGTCTTCTTCGCCTGCATTTTCTTTCAGGTGGGTGACAACACGCGTTCCGGGTGGTCTGCAGGGTCACACTTCGGTGGAATGACCCAGGCGGGTTTGTCCAAGAACCAAAGGAAAACACATGGCCATGATATGCCATGATCATGTTTGTAGAGTCCATGCTATGCCCCCAATAATGGCCAGAACATGGGGGTATGCCATGGTATGCCGCTATGCCATGCTATCTCCCACATTTTCAGACACAGGTGGCCATTGGTGGAATGTTTGGTGCAGCTCAGCCCCTGTTGTTGAAGTTCCCCTTGGATCGTGGCATTTTTTTGCGCGAATATGCCACCCAGACCTATGGGGCTGCGCCATACTTCATCGCCAAATCCATGGTGGAACTTTGGCAGGGCGATTTTGTTTCTTAATCAGAAACATGGAAACCAGAATGGAACCAGTGGAAGCAATTGATTCCATTACATTGGATTCTTTGATTCATTTTGTTTCTGGAGAACCACTCATTCGGTTCCTTCATGTCACGACTGACGTCTCCCAGAAAGTAGCAAGCTGAGGAATTGCCACAGACATTTTTGAATGCTGCAATTACCTGGGCTGCCGCCTACTTCCTGATGGGCTTGCAGGGAAGCTTCATTATGTGCCTGGGCGGATCAGTCAAATTGACAGAAACGACCGCTTGCACCGCAAGTACAAGCATTTTCAGAGACTAAACCAAGCTTTAGCATCAGCACGCCGTAGAAAAATATGCACATTTATTTTTCCAATGTTATCACACGCATGCTGCATACTTGTATGATATATATATATATGTACATAATTCGCACTGACAGTCATTAAAACAAACATCTATCAAATTCACCACGTTTTGTGTGTAGGGGGCGGCCCACACTGCAGAATCCAATGAAGGGAAGAGTTTATTTACAGCAGAGTCGAGTAGGAAGTCAGAGCTTATTTCTATGATAAGCATGATAAGCAGTGCCCTCGTTGGCTTGAGATACTGATCTTGTATTCTACAATATTCTACATTCTAAGCCGCATTTCGACAACACATCCGAACGCAGGGCTATGTTGCAACATGATCATCGCAGCTGTAGTTTCTCCTCGAGATAGGCTCCTGAACCACCAATCTTGATTTTTGAGTAATTTTGATTGTTCAGAATCATTGTGGAACAATAAAGCATTGATGCTCTTAAGACTGGACAGGGCCAACATGACCGAACATTGTCCCAAATTACACACCAAGTCGGTGTGAGGTTGGACCATTTTGGTGCGGCACCTCTCATCAACTTCTGCCAGGTATGTCTTGATCTTCTGGCTCACCGGCATTGCCGCTGCCTCAACAGCCCTGTTGGTCGGTTGCATTGCCAGCAACGCAGAAGTAGCGCAGCAGGCGGCACCAGCAGTCACTTAGCCTTCCAAGTGCGCAATGCCAGTGGCCAGTCGATGGTCACAACTACCAATTTCTTGTTATTGACTGGGATAAATGAATACAAATGATTACCGTGTTAAAGTCAAGAATAAACCTGTGGATTCGGTCCAGCTACCTGTATATAGTCAAATGGTTTGGTGGTGGTGGACCATTGCCAATTTGGTTCGATGATTTTTCCCATTCAAATGCCCATTTATCTGGATGAATTATCATGGGCCTGTCACGTCGTGACGTCACTGGAATGATGGTTTGCATATGGGGAATCATCCCCATAGCTGGCCTTATTTCTAGTTCAGCCAGATTTAGTTCGAGAATTTCTCAGCGACCCGCCGGAGATGACACTGGAGGCTGTTTGACCGTGCTTGACTCTGAGGTTTTTGTCCCTCAACTGCTGTTCGCTGGTTTCTTCATCCAAGCCGAACAGATTCCGATTTGGTTAAGGTGGGCTCAGTACACATGCGCCTTGAAGTACGGACACTTGTCTGTGCGGAGAGAGAAAATGATATGACGGGGATATGCTGGGAGTGGGAAATAATAGGATATATACTGTAACCAACAATATGACTTTTGGGTGTGTCTGAAATGGGGGCATAAGCCAGCATTTTATGGTCACTAAACCATAAAGAAAATGTCAGAGGTACTCTATTTTCTCCAGGCAGCCAACATCATAGTCTTGATTTGTCCAGCTGTCCACGGTTGAAAAAAAAACCATTTACATACTGTCTTAGTCGTGACCTAGCGTCACATGGCCTTGATGAGGAATGAACTTGAACATCATGAACGAGTTTGGCGCGGAGACAATCAAGGATTGGCCGCTTGAACAGCAGATGGCAGTGACAAAATTCATCTACATGAACGAGATCAACGTCGACCATGGTTGGATCTATGCAGGAGACAGAGACTTTTTTCCCCGGTTCAATGTGAACAGCAGAGAGTAAAGCTATTATGATTATATAATAATGAACACTAGTGGTTAATAATAGTGGTTAACAATAGTGGTTAACAGTGGTTAACAATGGTGGTTAGTAATAGCCTAATATTGCTTCTGTTATTCTTTTAAAACATTTTTTAAACATCTAACCTCAAGGCCCGATGCGGCCCGATGTGCATTTTTTTTTACAATGACTGGGACCGAAGAGTATGCAGAAACCTCCTTGGTGCAGGAATCCTTCTGGCAATCGTCGCAGTTGTGCGAATGTTGTCTGTGTTTGCTTTGGCAAAGCGTGCTGCGGCCTTCTTCTGAGGGGAAGTTGCTGAGCTTGTTGCAGCGAAGTTGGTCTGTGAATCGCGAAAAGATTTGCGTGGCAGACTGCAAAATGCCATTTTTCTTTCTGCTGATTGTTCAAAACAAGCAGCACCCTGGAGAGTGCCACAATCATGAGGGTCATCAAAATGAAATGATCCTGGCTTGATTGGAAGGACACCTGATCTCCACCTTTTGCTTCTTGCTTACGATTAGAAGCGTATCAAGTACGCCTCTTCTCTTGTGATGAACGCTGTCAAAAAAGAGATCCTTCTGCGGAGGTCTCCTGGCGGTCTCGGGATGTTGAAACCAAACTTTGGATATTTGGGCGTGTGTGAAAATGGGCTACAATGATTCCCTCATTTTTTTGTTTTTTTTCACAAGTATCACACAAACCCACATGGTTGCAGTGAATTTCAGCAAAGTACCCCTGCTCAGGAGACCTGCCTTGAGTCGGCAGTTTCATCCAGCTGACAGGGCCTCAGGGCTGACATGGTACCATGGGTTGCGGTACGCCTGAAACATCTTTCGGGTGGTTAAAAGTGGCTGCATTTTTGGGGTCAGGAAATTAAGGAACTTGTGATGTGTGTCTTCGTTATCCATAGCTATCCATGGCTGTCCACGGCCATAATCAAAAAACAACTTATCCATAGTTATATCCGAGTTATATCCCCTGTCACTAACGGGACCATGACTTGCCAAAGATCTCAGCTCTACCAAGTCTGCGACCAATCTGCAACCAGCAAGCTCTAGGCGATGTTGAGGGGTCAACGGCAGTGGGTGACGTAATCTTTAGGACGATTGAAGGGAGAGTTCAGGAGAAGGCGCTTAGATCCTGCCGAAGATGTCATTAAATTCGACTTGGGTGTTTTCACAGCTCCGTATGACGCTAGCGAAGATCTTGGTTGAATTCAGCCCAGAGTCGCCAGCAAATGAAGGCAGGGCTCACTCCATGATTTGGCTTGTACAGATCGGATGGATCAAAACTATCCAAACATTCTCTTCCGATGGGGGGATTACGTGACTAGTGACTAGATATTTTGATGTGAAAATCCGGATGCTGGGATTTTGACCAATGCCCAAATTCTCATGCGCTCATGATGTGAGACTTTGTGTCAAAATAAATATAGGGTACCTCGGTACCTCCATTCTTTCAGATGGTCTACCATTTTTTTCCCCTGTTGAAGTGCCAATTTTGGGTACACTCCAACGAAAAAATGGCTATGGAGATCCATCGGTTTCCCGGGGAAATGATCAATGGTTGATTTTCCATATGTCGATTATCGATGTTAGTTTACTTTATTTATGAGGGGTATCCTTTGTTTTTGTTACTTTGTTAGTTTACTTATCGATGTTATGGAGGCATCGATGTTGTGGATTTTCCATATTGATTGTATAATCATGGTATCCTTGATTTTACGATAAAGCCATGACATGTGCATTCCGTGATCTGACTGGCAAGGCCAGTCCGGCAAGAGCAGGTGCAGCCATGGCGCGGGCAAGAGAAGGGCTGATTTGACCAAGTTATATACTAAATATGGGGAATCCCCGAAACTATGGGTTTCAATACTAACATGGTCTAATTTGATTGATTTGGGGGTACCAGCATTTGAGGAAACCTCCAAATAGATACGTTCATGCATATCTATGCATATGCATATCTATGCATAATATGCATATCTATGCATAATATGCATATCTATGCATATCTAGTATTGTAATCTTGTGTATATATATATATGACATAGCGGCCAGGAAGGGGGTGCTGCCCGGCGAAGGATTTTAACAGCGCCGGGCCAGTGTTTTTTGCAAATTGGTATGTCGGTGACATGGCAACTTGGCTGACGAGACTTGTTTCCAAACACAAGACCCTAAACCCTAGACCCTAAGTCCAAAACGCTAGAACCAAAATCTGACATGAAACCCAAAGTAAGCCTTGAATGTAAAATCTTATTAAAAGCGTAGTAAAAACATGTAAAAACCCTAATAATCCGCAACGAAACCCTGAATAAACTCTAAACAAAGAGTTGGTCCCACGATAAACCTCTGGGCAGCAACCCGGGCCTGCGCGATACATATACATATACATATATACACAAACATACAAACATGGAACACCACATCTGAATCTGGGGAGTTGAAAAACAACATTCATTGACCCTCAAAATTGGGTGATCCAATTTTTAGTCGCCAATTTCGGAGCCAGGCCCAAAGTCGGCGTGCAAGAGTCCGAAAACGCAGACGTTCGGACTTGGAGGAGCCAGACGGAGATGAAGTTGATTAAGTCATGTCATGTTGAGGGTGCAGGAGAAGAACTTAATCCTTTCCCCTAACATTCAATACACCCATAAGGGCCCAATGAATAGATCCAATGAATAGATCCAGTGAATAGATCCAATGAATAGATCCAATGAATAGATCCAATGAATAGATCCAATGAATAGATACAATACTAGTCAAGGGTTTGTAAGGTGGTATTCAATATTAGGGGGGAAGAGATAATTGGAAAATGTGGACTCATCGTGTAGTTTTGAATTTACAGTACTTCGAAATAAACAATATGTTTGTTTGTTTATCAGCATCGCTTCAAAGGAATCGAGGCGGTTTGACATCAGCATCGCTTCCAAGTAGTGTCCGTCTCCAAAAGGTAACCCCCGCTACCTCAAATTCCGTGGGCTTATCATCAGTTTCCCTTAAGAAACCTGCCATGAATTGTGGTAAATACTTGTAATACCCCATTTTCAGACAAGTCCGAAAAGCATATCAAGTCGGCTTTAATGGAATGGAATGCAACCCAACGCAACGCCACGTAATGTAATATATGTATGTATCTATAAACCCATCCAATTTTAAATACACATCCCAGAAAGTATACACATGAAAAATTGCCCTAAACAAATCCTAATAAATTTGATGAACATAGATAAGAAAACGATAGCAATAATATGAATAGTATTCCCCGATGTAATAATCACTAATTTCATTAATAATCATATATGTCACAGCAATATCAATATATAAAGTAATAGTTTATATTATCAATAGAATACTGATAATGAGAACAATATATTAACTGTTATATACGTACTACTATTTACTACTATTATTATCATTATATATATATTAATAATAATAATATATTAATAATAATAATCATTATTATTATTATTATTACGAACATATAGTATTACTAATAACATTAACTATTATAGTGGATATGGGGATATCAATAATTTTGATAAGGAAACATCTATCCATATCCTGTCACGCTCTTTGATTTTAGGTGGAGGAGCCACTACATTTCGACCTGCCACGGCGGCTCACCAAGCAGGCCCTGAAAAAAATGCGGCTCCTTTTGGGATGCGACTGCAGGAAATGGATGTTATTGCTGTTTATTGCTTTTGCATTTTTCTTCGAAGTTCGTTTTTTCTAATGAGTCTAGAAATTTAGATTAGGGTTTCGTGTAGGAGCACCATACAAGCTTGCTCTTCACTGAAGACGGAACTGCGAGAAAGCTGATTTCAGCAACCAGGTAACAAAGATCTACCGCCCCTCTGTATTTTTTTTTCCTACAGCCCCAAATTTTGATGGTTTCTAAAACCCCAATGGGTCACTTGTATTCTTCTCTGCTTATTTGCTGCAAGGTCTTGATTTCATTCTCACTGCCCAGAACCCGGCCTGTAGGAAAGTGCAGAAGTGCGTGAAGAGATTTCTTCGGCCTTGGCTTCACTTAAGATAGAGGCGAGATTTTCAGGGTGATCTGGGAGGAGGAAACAGCAAATTGGCACAGTCCAGGGTGATCCATCCAAGTTCAATCAATGTGCGCAAATACATATATATATATTATATATTATATAATAATAAAAAATAATACAATATAATGTAATGTCATGTAATGTAATGTAATATAACATATGATAATACTGTATATACTATATAATAATCAATACATAATAAATAATATATAATATATGATATATAGTATATAATATATAACATAAAATATAAAATATAAAATATAAAATATATACTATATAATATATAATATATAATATGTAATATGTAATATGTAATACATAGTATTTAATATTTAATATATAACATATTATATCATGTTGTGTTATGTCATGTCATGTTGTGTTATATCATATTATATTATGTCGTGTTGTGTCGTGCTAAGTTATATGTTATGTTGCGTTACGTTATATTAATTTATGTGGCGTGTTGTGTTGTGTTATATCATATTATACCACATCACATTATATCGCACCAAATTATATATCACATTACATTACATTATATTAATTTATACAGCACGCCATATTATATTATATCATATTATATTATATTATATTATACTATATTATAATATAGTATATATGTGTGTATATATATATATATGTATATTTACAATTTCTATGTACAGTATATATAATTTTTTTCTATATTACACAACCTAATGCTATGCAATGCAACACCACGCGGTGCAATGCCATGCAACCCAATGTCGGATAGGTATATGGGAATGTAGGTAGATAAGTAGATAGGTAGAGAGGAAAATAGGTGGATGGATGGATGGATGGATGGATGGATGGATGGATAGACTATGTACGGTTTTTGGCCTCAGGTAGTTGAATCATTGAATGACGCACTTCTGTTTAGCCTTGAAGTCTGTCATTTCTTCGGACAGGGTGACAGCTCCCCAAACCCATGAGTCATGGAAACCTCCAAGCGACCCATCAACTGCCAGGCAGCGGCAATCCCACAGAGAGCTGAGGAGCTTGGAGATTGCGCAACGCGGCAATTTAACAAAGCTCTGGAAAATCACCACTTAAGAGGTAAATCATGTATCAACGGGCCGTTTTCCATAGCTATGTTAAATTACCAGAGGGTATAGTAAACAAATGCAGTTTCAAGAAGTTCAATAGATTTCAAAAATACAGAGTGGGGAAGTCGGAGCTGAATCAACGTCCATCACCAGGATATTGATCCAGCCGAATTACGACTGCGACCAAAGGCCCTGCGGCATGAGCTGTCGCTCTTTTGAATTGTTTTCCTTAGTTTTCTTTCATTCAACTCATTGAGACTCCATGGATTTTGGGGTCTTGGGGGAGCTAAGGAACCAAGGATGATGAAAATCCCCACCAAATCGGGAGATATGGGGAGCAAAGGAGCCCAGCCCCCAGAAATTGATCAAAGACCCACCTTGAGGTCGAGCTGCTCTGCAATCTGCGGATAGATGCCGGACCCGTGGAAGTTGCA